AAAAAAAAAAAAAAAAAAAAAAAATGAAGGAATGGAATGAAATTGAGCATACGTATATTTCCAGTTGCAAAATCAAAATTACTGAATCTGCAAATAAAAACTTCTACAATTCTAAGAGTTGTTTGTGATGCACAATTTTAATTCAGAGGCGATCACTAGGCCATCCGATACTACACATTTAAAGAAAACCGTCACATTACACGACGTTTGTATCCCGCCACACATTAGACAGTTGATTTAGCTACAACGATTGGGTGGGATTGTGCTGCTCCTTCCAAATCCTGCCGGTAACCCTGAGCTTGAGCTCCTTTCGGTCCCCACCGGAGAAAAACAGAGCCATATTCCGTTGTACAATGAGGCCGTCGTGACTATCCCTCACCTTACGGTGGCTATCCCGAATGCTGCGTGGGGTCCCCTCCCATATCAGCTTCCGCCCGTTGCCCCCAACCTCAAGGCTGTAGCTGTACTTGCGCGCCTCCGTCTCGTCTCCCATAAAACGGAGGAACGCCATGTACACGGGAGCCATCCCTATCTGGAACGCCTCAAAGTGGAGGCAGAAATATTCTCCGAAACAATGGAATACAGTTAACATCCATGTTGCATTTTCCACTTCACGAGGGTTCGACTTCACATAACGGTGATTAAACGTGCAGCCAGAGTGCATGTCCACTTTATGGTCGTCCCTCAGATGTCCAACCAGATAAGGAATATCACCGGCCGCAGAACACTCGGAGCCGGCATAAGGACAGTTGTACGGTCTGAAATTGCAAAGGGCCTCGTGCTTGAGTTTGCTGTAGTATGGGAAAATCTCCGAGCATCCCAAGGAGTAGTACTTGCACGGCAGCTCGAGTGACTCGGCAACTTTTTCTAGAGCCAAACACCTTATGTCCCCGAGTTCTTGTCTGCAAGTAGGGCACCGGTTGTGTACCCTCGTCTTGCATGTGGAACAGAGTGTATGCCCATTATGACACTGCAAAACAGTCGCCCAACAAAAAAACATAAAATAAAGAACAGAAAAGAAATTTGTTGCCATAGCCATTCCGAGTGCTTTGATTTGCTGCTTTATGAGTTCTTCATCGTTTTCCCTTAAGGTTTGCATTTAAATTGGAAAGTCCATGAATGATAATACAGATTTCAGACACCAAAATGCTCTTAACTTGTTTTGTTCGTGAACTTCTGATCGGTTGAGGCATATCGAATAAATGGCTTATACCTGTTCAGTATCTACAAAAGCTCAGAAATGGGACTACTTGGGTTCAGACACAAAAACAGCATTTGAAAACACTTTAATTTTATTTTGGTCTCGTCTTTTCTCTTCATCTTTTCAGCTCCAAGCGTCACAACCATTTCTCTTTACTCATAAAATCGATTATACGAGAATTTCAGAATCGACATCATCAACAACAAGTCGACCTCCAAATAGGGCATTCGAGTAAGCACTTCGGAAAGTAAAGGATAATACAATCTAAAACATAGCATCACGGCACAAAATTGTAAGCACTTCAGAAAATAAAAGGAAATAGAGACTGAACAACAAATGACATAAACTAGTAAGCATAAAACCAGACCTGATGAATCGGTGGGTACATAGAATTAGTGCAAACAGGGCATTCGAGTAATTCATGGACGCTTGTCGGGCCAATTCCTGTAACTACACCATGAGGCTTCAAAGAACATTGATGAGAGCTAGCACGAAGATTATGTGAGCCGACTGATGATTGCATTTCGCCATTTTCAATCACGTCTGATGCAGTAACACACTCCACATTTTCCATTATCATTGCTGACATTTTTGGGTTTGATTACAACAACAACAACAAAGTCTTTTCGTCTCAAACAAGTTGGGTAGGCTAGATATGAAACCCAAGATAAACATGGTAAGAGAAACACAAAGAGGGCTCAAAACAAAACAAAACAAAACTCAAAACAAAACAAAAGAAAGAGATTGGAGCAAAAGTCACGGTTCCCGCACGTTGATCGCTAGCCTCCAAGCGCTTCTATCTACCGCTAAATCCTTGGAATCTAGGTTTTTTTTTTTTTCAAGAAAAAATCGACCCAATTTCATATATTTTCTTCAATCAAAACAGCAAACTTCCATAAATTTGTTCCTCTTTTTTTTCCTTTTTTTAAGGAATCTGAGATGCCCGATACGAAAAATTGAAGCTTTGATAGATAAATGACATACCCTTTTGCTCCCGACTCACGAAAACTCGATCAATGGCGAAAAAGGCCTGATTTTTCAAGCATATATGTAGTTTTCTTTTTCGTTTTCTTTATCTTTTCTCTCTCCCACTTTCGAATAATTTCTGTTTATTGGAGGAAAGAAATAAAGAAATTGAAAAGAATCCAATGAAAATGAGAGAGAAAGAGATGCCGATTCAAAAATATATAAAATGATGAAATTGAACCAACAAAGGGTTGTTCTTCTCTTCTTGGAAAGGTGCTTTGCTTTCTTTTCTCTCTCTGTCTGGATTGCTATAGGGAGAGAGAAACGAGGATCGCCGTTAATTTTTGTCTGCCCGATGTGGGAAGTTAATCCTACGGTTGTAAAGGTACGACCTTTTTCTTTTTCTGTTTACGACTTTACGGTACTGCCAAAATGCCAATTTGAATTTGCTAGCCTGAATTTTATTTCCTGTATTATATTCTGGTAGTTTTATTTGTCTATCTATATCTCTATATAGAAAAAAACATTTTAAAATAGTAGCTATTTTCGTAAAAAAAATCATATCCACTATATTTAAAAATAAATTAACCAATATATATATATATATATATATATATCTAAAGGATGTGGTTCAAATGAGAACTCTCTCTTAGTGTAAGAACAAGAAACCAATCATAACCATCCAATCAATAAATATTAACCGATTAGATTGAAAGCAATAAAAAAGTAAATTTGTTTAAAAATCACATTTATGGAGAGGATGCTATATATGTCAAGTTAATTGTTAACAAATATGGTAGTGCTCCTTAATGTACATGAACTCTTTGACTTTTAATATTTTTTATTCTTCATTATGTTTTCGAATTGTTATCTATCTTTTCCTATTCAAAATATATTATAATATATTTTTTATTAATAAAGAAAATAATTTATCTATAGGCTAATCATGCACATCACACATGGAATGACCATTGACCAGTTTCGATGGTGCTTAAAAATTGATTTTTTCAAATATATCTTTATTTTTTAATACATAAAATTTAATACTAGTGTTTTTTGTCCAATTGCGGTCATTATATTTAGATACTTTATATGGATAACCAATGATTTCTTAAACTTATATAAAATAATTTATTGTGAATTACACCAAAAAAGTATTTAATGGTTTCTTTATCAGCACCTTTTTTTGTTGTAAAATTTTATTATATATTAATGAAAATAGAAATTAAATACATAACATTGTATCATATAATATTATCACTTAAAAGTTATCATTGTAGCAAGAATATAAACATTTGATAGCATAAAAACATAGTAAGTCTAATAGATTGTTAGTTACTCTGAAATAATTTGATAGCTAGCACTAAAAGTTGCAAATATTAGCAAAAATTTGAACATTTGATAGCATGAAATTCATATTAAGACTAATTGGTTGTTAGATACAATACGAACCTTTGATGTAGCAAGAATTAATAATTGGAATAGCAGCGTATATATGAATAATTGATAGCATTAAGTTCAATAATGTTACTTTGATGAGTTGGACATATATTGGACACACATTTTCACTAATAATTGTCAGTAATACAGACAATACTAACATTTGATAAAGTCATGTGAAGACAATGAATTCAGATAAAAACATTAAGCAACAAGAATTAATATATTTATATATAGCACTAATCAATAATTTATTATCACGAATTACATTATCAAATCTATGTTATTGCTAGCAATTGCAACTCATAAAATTAGAACTACCTTGCATATCAAGTTTTAAGTTTATTTAATAGCATGGGTAAAATAAATTAAAATTATGTTCTATAAAACAAATTATATAGCAAAATATTTTTGTTTGTTATTCTTATACAAAAAATAATAGCAACGTACTTTTGTTAAATATAGTACTCTTTTTTTAATTATAGCAATAATCTCCACTAGTTTTTAACCCGTGCATTTGCACGGAAAGCAATATAATATAACAAAAAATAATAAAAAGATATAAAAAATAGTAAAAATCATAATATAACCATTGGAAAAATATTCTAAAAAAGAATAACTAAATATTGTTAAACAATTCTTTATATAACGTTTGTGGTTTTCTATCAACAGAATCTCTCACTATAAATCACTATCTTCAAATTAACACATATAATGGTTTCATTTTTTAAAATAATTATTGTATTTTGTACTATAGATCATATAGGAAATTTGAAAAAAAAAATACTAAAAAAATACCAGCAAAATATTACAAAATAAATAATTGTATTTGGTTGATAAATAATGATATGTGCCAAATATTTAAGACATTTGAACAAAATGAAAATTTTTGGGCCATAAAAAAATATATTGATTGAACGATAAAAAAAGCGCAAATTAGAAGTCCACTTAATTTTTTAGGGTAACCAAAATCAAATATAAAACATGTCAATGATAACATGATTATAAATAGAGATAAACTCCTTGAGTGATGTAAGCCAATTTTTTTGTTTGATGTCGGCGCTTCTTTTGTTATTCACTATTTGTCTGAAACCCTAATCCTTAACCCGATCTTATGACAAACTCGGCGAGATTGAATACAAAACAAATGGTTTACCGAAAATTTTCTCCCAGTAAAGGCTTAAAAAAAAATCCAATAAATGTTGTCTTTGTGGCTAACAGTAGTGATCGAAAAATAAATATTCGTCCCGATTTCTTAATCTGTGTTGCTAAATCTTAACAGGTCGGTCAAAATCGGGCGATAATATTACAAATCTATGAAGAGCTGAAATATTTTTTGTTAAACATAGTTTTTATTTTTTTTATTATTTTCAATGATCTGTGTCGTTTTTCAAAATTCTTTTTAAATAAGCTTCAAAGATATATCATATTTTATACATAATTCGAAATTATTTAGATGATTTTCGAAATCGTTTTTCAAAGAGAACATGACATTGGTCGAACATTTTCAAACTTTTATCTATTTTGTTCGAGGTTTGAAAAATAGGTAATTTTCTAACATATCTGTTCAGCTCTACTAACAAATATATAGGTAAGTTTATAACATACAATTCCATCAACGTCTAGCAAAACGACCGGAAATGTTTCAAAAAAGGAGAAAATGTGTATGGCTATGTTCAGACCAAGGAAATAGCTTCAAAATGCTCACCACGGAATTGGAATATGTAACTTTTATGTATTTTGTTCAGATTTTGAACACTAAATAGTTCAATTCTTTCTCATCTTTCTCATCATATTAGTAAGTGAAGCTTTGCTAACACTTGTTCAAAATCGCTTTTCAAAGTTGTTCAAAGTCTTTTGCCGAAGTTTTTAAATGTTTTTAGTATTTTGTTCAAAATTTGGAAATATTAGGTAAGTTTATAACAATCTGTTTAGATATATTTATCGCATATTAGGAATTTCTTGTTTAATGTTTAAAAGAATCTGTAGGAATTATTATCTTTAAAACTTTTACACAAAAAAACTATTTTAATATAAAGGCAGATGTCTTGGTAAAAGTTGAATGTGTTGATAATGATAGGGAAATCAAATTATTTTTTTTTCTATATTGTATAGTGTCCAATAATGTTCCACATAATTTGTTGTGTTTTTAATTTTGATTTTTTTCATATAGATTTTACTTTTTTTGTTGATTATTAATTATGTTTGATATTTCCATATTATATAACAATCTGTCATTACAGACAATGCCATTACATACAATGCCTTGTCAACCCTCATTCTTTGACTTTGCCAATTTCTGTTTAATATGACCTTTCTGTTGCTGAAAGTATGGTTTTAATGCATTAAAATATTGATGTTTTGGATATGTTTTGATGCTATAATCATACAGAAATTTATCCTGCCACCTTTTTCTTAAAGAAGAATTATTTAATAAAAAATAATCATATTTATATTTATAATTGTGAAATAATATTTTTTTCACGCAACAATTTTTTTAATGAAAAATATGAAACAATTTATTCAGTACACTTTTAAATTTATAAAACAAAATGTTGATTACTATAATCAAATCTGCAGACATCATGCATTTTATTGAATAGTAGTAATATAAAATATTTTATTATTACTACCAAATGGAAAGTCAAAGATAGTTAATTTTGCACTATCAATTATGATCATATGAATTTTTTTTATACATATGTTTTTTCAATGAACTTTTTTAAATGATAATATTGACCATATAGACTTTGCTATAATAATTATATAGTCGGTTAATTTATTTATTTACTTCATTAATTATTTTTTAATTCATCTTATTATACGTATAGTCTAACTTTATAAATTATATGTCATTTAAATGTATTTGTACTACTAATTTATAAGGTTTTATCATTTTGGGGAGCTAAATTTTTATTTTAATTATGAAACTAATTTTTCTTATCACTTTGCAACTATATGTTTGATGGAGTATGGCTGAAAATTAAATTACCAAAAAAAATAATTTCATTTTTCATATTGTAATGTAACACGATCTGTATTATAATGTTTGCATTTATTACATTTATTAATATATTTTATAACTTTAATTGCTTATTCAATTCATAATTGAATAAAAAATAATAATATATAGTTTCTGCACAACAATAATGATTGTCACGTTTATATATATATATAAATAAT